ATTTTTTTTTTTTTTTGTGTCTGTTACCACTTTTTCTCAGCTCTCACCGAACCGATTTCTTTCAATGATACGTCAAAAGATCACAAATCGTATCTAGTCGAAGACATTACCCTCAAAAATTGAAATAAATTCCCTCGTTCCCCGTAAATGGGGGAAACCTCCAAAAAAATTACAAATTTAAAAATCGCTAATTTTCGAAATTTTTTCAATTTTTTTTTACTTAAAAGTCCCATAACTTTTTCAAAAATGAACATATCAATATAACTCTTTTTTATATAGATGCATAATATCATTACCTTTCATTTGGTATATTTTTTTTATAAATTTAATCCTTAACCTGCCCACAAGAGGGGATTTAAAATGACAACTTTTTCACAAAAAATTAACTTTTTCAACTTAACTTTTTAAAATGTTCCGGAAAGTCTGACACTTTTATATATATCTTAAATTAATGCTAATGTAATGTTCTTTATTATACAAAAAAAAAATTTTGGACTTTATTTTATCTTCATGGTGAAAATGGCTACCAAATACTATTTTTTTGTGAAAATTTTCGATTTTGTATTTTACATTTTTAACTTTATTATGCTATAACTTTTTGAAAAATGCATGGATCAGTACAATTTTTTCACGGGAAGTAGTATTTATATACATACTTCATTTGACATACTATTTTTTTAAATCGGACCATTTCCCTATATACGAGGGAAAAATTATATCAAATGGGAATTATCTAAGGTTTCAATACAAAAAAATATTATTTTTATTTGTCATTTTTGAAAGTTATGGCAGTTTTAAGTACAAAAAACATCCTGATAAAATGTAATTTTTATCGCAAACATTACATTTTTTTTTAAATTTTCGACAGCCATTTGCACATAGAAGATAAGATGTCGGGACAAATTTTTTTTTTTCATTTGATAGTATATAACATAACCTTTGATTTGATATATGTATAATAGACGCAGTATTTCCGGAACATATTCAAAAGTTCAGTTGAAAAAGATCTATGTTTTTTACAATATTTTAAGTTTTGAACGCCCCCTATATAAGGGGAAATTGTCCAATTTTAATAAAAAGTATGTCAAATGAAAGATGTACTTATAATGTATTTAGAAAAAAAAAATTTGTGCTGATATATACATTTTTCAAAAAGTTATAGCATTTTTAAGTTGAAAATTTAAAATCGAAAATCGAAAATTTTAACACAAAAATAGTGTTTTTTTAACTACGGCAGCCGTTTAAATGTAGAAAAAAAAGTGTCGGGACAAATTTTTTTTTTTCATTTTGTAGTACATAAAATAAGCTTTAATTTGATATATGTTTAAAGGACGCAGTATTTCCGGAACATTTTCAAAAGTTCAGTTGAAAAAGATCTATGTTTTTTACAATATTTTAAGTTTTGAACGCCCCCTATATAAGGGGAAATTGTCCAATTTTAATAAAAAGTATGTCAAATAAAAGATGTACTTATAATGTATTTATAAAAAAAAAATTTGTGCTGATATATACATTTTTCAAAAAGTTATAGTATTTTTAAATTGAAAATTGAAAATCGAAAATTTTAACACAAAAATAGTGTTTTTTTAACTACGGCAGCCGTTTAAATGTAGAAGAAAAAGTGTCAGGACAAATTTTTTTTTTTCATTTTATAGTAGTTTTAAGAAAAAAAAGTGAAAAAATTTCGAAAATTAGCGTTTTTTAAATTTGTAATTTTTTTGGAGGTTTCCCCCATTTGCGGGGAACGAGGGAATTATTTTCAATTTTTGAGGGTAATGTCTTCGACTAGATATATATAAAAGATATATATAAAAGTGTCAGACTTTCCGGAACATTTTAAAAAGTTAAGTTGAAAAAGTTGTCATTTTAAATCCCCTCTTGTGGGCAGGTTAAGGGTTAAATTTATAAAAAAAATATACCAAATGAAAGGTAATGATATTATGCATCTATATAAAAAAGAGTTATATTGATATGTTCATTTTTGAAAAAGTTATGGGACTTTTAAGTAAAAAAAAATTGAAAAAATTTCGAAAATTAGCGATTTTTAAATTTGTAATTTTTTTGGA